CCCACATCTTATGTTCCTATCCTATCCCCATTATCTGAGGGCCAGGCAGGAAGTAGGTAAGAAAAGGACAAGAACAAGAAGGGAATGCAGGAAAGTACAAAGAAATGGAAGCATCTCTTCTCTCTCTGTCATTTTGCAGATCAAAGAAAATTTATGTCCATTTAGTTTTCACCCTGTAGGCCCCACTCTGTACATCAAACCCATGGTATAATCAGCACATATTTAATGGAAGGGGAGGCTTATGAGTACTGAGTGGCTGATACCATAGCCATACTGCTTCACCCATACTGGAGTTTCAAGTTGTATGAAGTGACTAAATGTATAACGATTCCACTTGGCTGGCATTAGCTGTATTGATGAGGTTGTCGTGGGAATAATCCATATAATTTTTAATATAAGCATACACACATATATGAACTGACACAATTAAATGCAGCTCAACTTCAGATGTAAAATTTTCTTCTGTTAAAAATCAAGCAAGAGACTAATACTTTGGCATAGCTTGCAAGCACTACAGCAAAACTGACAGAACTCTAACATTTAACGCTAATGACCGTATTAATAGAACAGTTTATTAAATTCTCTGCAAACCATCCTTAATTCTACAACTACAAACTGAAAGCGGCTGGGTATACCCAAGAGAAAACAAATCTGGCAAAAGCACCACATCAATCCCTGGAGATGCCCTTCTTGCTCCACTATTTCCTAAATTTTCAAATACCACGGTACTGTATTTAAACATCAAATTAACAATCTCACAGAATTTATATGAACTTCTTGTATGTAAATTATGCAAGTGCTAGTCTACAGAATGGAGACCAGCACAACACCTCATGTTTAAAAGTACACACTACTTTCAAATATAATTAACATATATGGTACAGTTTGCATCTTACAGCTTATATCGATGTACGTAAGTTAATCTCATTCTTCTGCCACCTTTCACAACATTTGTAATTTGCTCTCCCTGATATTAATATATGTTACATTGGACCTACAACAAACAGCATGATTTTCATTTAATCATTCGATGATATGCTGTTCTCAGAATATAGTTGGTTGTTGCATGCCAAGTGCCAATAGCAAATATTACAGGTTCTTCCTGTTTGGAGAGAAACCAAATCATAGCATCTTCTTATTTGTTAACCTAGACTTCACTAAAAAAAACAAAAACAAAACTGTATTCATATACCTATTAGTGGAACAAAATAGTTTCACTCAGTTTCTTATATTCCCGTCTTTGACCCACTGTTTAAAACTCAACTGGCTATAATCAAGGTCGACTGAGAATGTGACTTGAGAATCCGGACTGTTTAGAAATTTTAATACTTTTTATTAAGGAGTCGTTTCTTTTGACTATTTATTGCAAAACTGAAGCACACCACATTCCATTTTGCCTGCTCAGCTGTTTGTGGGGTTGCACTGCAGAACTTGTCAGAAAATTGATCCAGGTTAAAAAAGCAAAATCTTCTAAGTCTTTTCTGTTTTGCAAAATCAATTTTCTGAGTTATCTCACAACTGATCTCACAAACCACCACAGCTGAGAATGTGACACCCTGTGCAGCAAAAAAGCAGCCACCTGGGCTGGGAAGTGCTGACACAGAAACTGCTGCTTAACACTTCAGACATAGGAGCATGGCCTAATGCTTTTATGAAGTGTCCTAATTTCCACTACTAGCTTTAATGGTAAAGACGCTTTTTCTTTCCTTCCTACAGACTTTACTCTTCCAGAGTGCACTTTCTAATTTAAGAAAATAAATAGAAAGAAAGCTATTTATGTAGCTAATAAGATGTGTGAACGATACTACGCACCATATTAAAAACATCATTGTCAATTTGGCTTTGCTCTTCAGAGAAACTACACATGCCATTATGAATACAGATGACAGACTTGGTACTGTTGGCTTTTTTTCCAAGCTACCTTTCCACCTCAAGTTTTTAAATTTGAGATACATTTGAATTAATGTTGCTGTTACTTGGTACCTTAGAAAAATCACGTTCATGTACCAGGAATGTATGCTAAGAAGACAAAACGGCTAGATCTACGAGAAAAAAAAACCCCACATATCAATACTGAAATGTGGCAGAGCTCAAGTTACAGAACAAAGAGGGGGTTTTTGTAACAACAACATTTGATCAGTCTGGATGACTTTATCAAGGATATGCTTAGCCATGAGTGTTGTTGGAAACTGATGAAATAATGGATCAATAAAAACCTCATGTTTTGAAGTAAATACAGATTTATCAAATGTTGCTTTTGGTCAGAATAATTTTTTTAGCACGTTAAAGAGTGGAGACAGAAAGTCAGTCAAAGAAACATCAGAGGACTGGATGCATTAGACAAGTTTCTTCAAAGATGATAGATATATGTGAAATTATTTAAAGACAAGTTAGAAGGTGAATAAAATAAGTAATAAGGCATGGTTTTGGCTATCCTCAAAAAGTGGGATAAAGACACTGCAGAAGACAAACATAGCAGAATGCAAGTCATGCAGTCACGCAAACAACAAAGGTCAGCATGGCCCAAACAGATGGACACTGTATGCAAACAAAGTTGGTCTATATTAGTAGAGAGATACTTCTGTGGAAGGGCACAACCAACCTAAGCCTAAGGGAGGAAAAGGATTTACTAACAAATGTGTAACAATACCATACTGTTCTTGATCTCAGCAAAGACATCCTGACACGAAAAGCAGCAGCAAAACTGTACTTTAAAGATTCAGCGAACCTGAAGATTTCTAGAAGCTTTCATTTTCATAATGATATGAATATAAGAAGTTTGATTTGATGAGGAAACAACCTTTATTCAGGTTCTCACATTTACTACTGTCAAAGTATCTAAGACTTTTAAAAAAAAAAAAAAGATGGCAACTCCAAGTCTGAGCAAGAGAGAGCAAAATGTTGATATACAATGAAGTTTATAATCCTTCCTGTTTCTACTGTGTATTTTCCTGAGGATCAGAAAGCACTTTAAAGAGTTGATTAACTTTCTTCCAAAACACCAATGTACAGTAGATACATTAAAGCAGAGAGATTGCCGATTTGTTTAAGGTCACACAAGAAGTTAGTGCCAGAGACCTAGACTCAGTAGCCTTGACTCCAGTGCTTTCCAAAATATGAACAATATGGATGCTTTAAGACCAAATTATACACTTACCAAAAGTGCCTGAGGATGCTAGAAGAAGAAAAACTATATGTAATGATTCACAGTGAATAAATAGACATTAATTATCATCAGACTACAGCTTCAGCCCTGCTGCTCCTGCCCTACAGATGTGAAAAAAATAGGACTGGCCTGTGCACGCACCGTTATACTACAATAACAAAAGCACTAATTTTTAAAAGCCTATATGAGAACATCTGTTTCAGACTAACACATTGATTCTAACCGCATTCTGACCTGCATTTGACCAGAGTAATTATTTTGTCATTTTAATGCAAACCATTGCACTTGTACAGGCCCTAAATATATAACTGACCAGTTCCTGTAGAAAATACTGCCACTTTACATACAACACGGGGTGTCTTTTTGAGGGGTATGACCACATAGGCAAAGATCTAGTGTAAATAGCTATGCTGGCATGAGTGTTTTTGCTGTCATAGGTCAACTTGGCAAACTGTTATTAACTCTCCTAGAAGAAGCACCTGCACGAGTATAACTGGTTTTGTAGGAGACATCTGGCTGGTATCGCTGCACCTCACACAGCTCTGCCCTTGGCAGGGGTTGTTTTCCTGTACTTACATGGATGACAACTTGTTCCACGCTCTATTTGAAAGCCAACCTTGGCAGCTCCCCTCATGCCCCTAAAAGAAAAAGAAGGAAGAGGGTGGCAGAGCTGTCTTAGCGTTGTGTTGTGTTGCGCCCTGGCATTTATATCGCACCCGTAGCTCACATTCACCAAGCACATCGCTCACCTGCGCAGGTTCCCCCTCACCCCCCCGGAGCCCTACACCTACAGAACGGCAGGCGACGCCAAACCGAGGAGGCAGGAGCAACAACAAGGCAGGTCGCCGGGTCCGTCCACC